AATAGATTGGTGGCAAGGTCTCATAGTATTGTAGAAAAAAATGACTAGATATAACTGTACTCGCCTATACTAGAAGATGACGTAGTCCTCAGGGTCGTAGGTCAACGAGTTGATTGCAGGGTCAATCCCTCGCTGTCAATGGGTCGTTGGTTAGTGGCTACCCTGGTCCGCACTTTGCTCTGCCCACGCTGTGTTTCTTGATCACAAGTTAGTGGAGATCGGGTATCGTCAGTAATCTGGTTCGAACCAAGGCGAAACTGTGTTATGAAGGAAAAAAAAGAAATGTTCTCGCAGATGAAATAAGAACGAAATTTTCGAATTGTTTATGTAGTTCTTTTTATAATAATATTAACCCTTCCCTCTAAAATTTCTGTAGTGACACTTTGACCATTGGTGCTAGTCCTTGGAACAAGACTCAAAGTCAGGGGTTCTCTTGGCAGCAAGTCCCGTGGATTTCAGTAGCATCTTTGTCTGCTCTTCGCCGCTTGTCTCTCATCTCTCCCTGGGTCGCCTAAGCGCTCTGCTTATATTGACTTCGACCCAAGACTGGAGTTGGGCTGACGGTATTTGGGGATCTGGTGATTCCCCAAATTTCTGTATCGATTTAGTAGATTAGTGTATGAGTATACAGGCACAGTAAAGCAATGGAACAATAGAGTTAGTAGAAATCTTAGAGAGAAAAGAGAAACTGACCTTAGTGACAGAACCATTAGTGGCAGGCAAGCTGCTGCTATGAATGAGGAAAGGCAAAACATGTTAATGCACCTATTACAGATAACAGAATGAACAATATTGCAGATCCCTCAGAAAGAATTCGAATGAACTATGGTAATGTCTGCAGATACTACCCTGACTATATAAAACGGTCTATACAAATGGGTTTTTCCAAAATATTGATATATCAATATTTTACAGTTGCTGTCGAAGATTTTCTGGAGCTGCCCAACACAGATTGCACTTTCCTAAGCAGGATAACCACAGATGAAAGTTAGGCTCAACAAATCAGAGAGAAAAAGAAAATGAAGGAAATGGCGCAACCCAAACTCATCCAGAAGGAAGTTTAATATACTTTGAGTTATTCAAACATCTTTCAATTTTTATATCGTTGTAGGTGTTATTATAAACACAGTATTTCGGCCAAGTACCTTCTGGTCATCTTCAGGTGTCTATCATCTTGTGGTCATGTGTTCAGTCCCTTAATCATTTAATGACATATTAAATTTTGGTTCATCAGAAACGAACAAGAAAAGGTATCATAGGGGTAAAATAACACTAATTAACACAAAAAATGTCCCATAACAGTCAAGATACTAAACAACTGAAGATGGCAAAAGGTAGTTGACTGAAACAAAATAATATCTATAATAGTCAAGATGAGAAGAATAGTAAAATAAACTATTTAAATACGAGGATACCTAATATAATTTTTCAACAGTTATTAAGTATATCTGATATTGATATGTTAGGGTTGTCAAGGAAATATTTTTTATCTCACATCAAAAGTAATTTTCTGTCAGATTTACAGTTGAGATTTAACGATTTAAAGTTTCACCAGAATTCTAAAACAGGTGAGTCTCATTATGGTACATTAATCAATGAATATCTGATTTCAAAGCAAACAATCAAATGATATAACAGATATCGACCTATGTGAAATCGGGTAAATTAGATGGTCAGCGAATATACGAATCAAATCTTTTTCTGAATTATGAACAAAAATACGTCTAATAAACTTTGAAAATAATATTGCTAGGGAAATTATTGATTATCACAAAAAATCAAACGTAGAATTTGATTCCCTAAACTATAATAGTGTTTTAATGAGAAATTGTTCGGATTTAAGTTTTCCTGAATTTTATTGATTTTAATTATGTCAGTAAAGTTGGTTTTATCTTCAGATTTTTTTCTATGAAAAAAAAAAAATCAATAAAATGACATTCTGCACAAAAAATAAAAAATGGGAGAATTTCACTTTTCATTTTCATTATTTTGCTATATTAACCGAGTTTTTCCATGCGCAACTTCTTTTCATTGTTAGTCATTTATATTTTATTTTTTGTCCTATGTGTACACATGGACGATGCAGTACTTAAAAGCTTCAGGTAATAGTTAGGGGTTTTAAATAAAACTGAGAAGATATCCGAGGGAAAAAAGCTTTTTGTTTCAGTTTGAATTCATGTTTTGTCGAGTCTTATCTCGTCAGCATTCAGCATGCAAGAAAAATTAGACGTCCCGAATCGACAGGATCTATCACTTCGACCAATTCTCTCTCTCTCTCTCTCTCTCTCTCTCTCTCACACACACACACACACACACACACACACACACACAAGCGCGTGCGCGCAATTCCGTATATCTATTATAATGATTCTCCTTCCTTGTGCTCGTTTATGTATTGCCGTAACATAATTTTTTTCTACATGCAACATGTGAAAGCACGTGCGGTACCCTGTCCACATCAGCCGCCAACCAGGGCAGGTAACACAGTATCGGTGGCTAAGGCGATACTGCCACCCCTGGCGGAGCCATGATATTGTGCAATTGTTGTTAGTGTATTTAAACGAAGTTGCGCTAAATTGGAGAATAAAGAAATCCCTTGTCTAACAGGCTCCACCATCAATTTCAGGGTAATTTTCAATTAAGTATAAATTGACTGTTCCCCCGCAAAAAGAAGTCTGTCAAAGGGGGATAACTCTTAACATATCAACTAGTAGTTAGCTTAATATAAACGGATTTATTTTACACAATCCAGAATTATATAATTAGTTTAGTGGTAAATACTTATAAAGCCTTCTACAGTGAAAATTTCAAACCAAAATTCAGCTGACGTCATGTTGTTATTTACTCATATTCCCTGAGTTTGGAATAGAAACACACCAAACAACACATTCTGGCGTACCGCCGAAAACTTCATGATCAAAAGTTTGACCTGGTTTGTTAAAAACAAAGGAAAGTAATTTACTCAGACGAAGATGTATTGAAAGTGCCCTGATCTATAAATCCTTTGCGGTTAATATACAACGGAGGTTTCTTTAGCTTGTAACCTCTTTTTACTAAGATAAGTGTTGAAACAATACAAATGAATATATAAATAAAAACTCAGTTGGAATTATTGAAATCCAATTTGTAAAATGATAAAAATCCACTACTCATATACCTAACTTGAGTCATGTTCTGTCTCGCTACTCTAGATTTGGCCGAAATAAAATTCGATATTTTTTTTTTTTATGATGACGCCATTTGATCAGCAAAATTTATCAAAATGAAAGTATTTCAAATTTTCTTGTCCATTTACCGTAGAGTCAAGATAACTGGGTACCTTGTGAGGATCAAACTTATTGCCCTTTGGGTGTGTATGATGCGTGCTATAGGAAAGATTACCTTCTATGTTTTATTTTTATATTAGTTCATAACTTTTGATCAGACTCTTTTTATCTTATTTAAACAAATGTTAATTTATAATTAGAATGATATAAACAGAAAAAAAGCTGATTAGTTGCAAGTGAGGACGTCAATGTGTGCAGGAGTTTTGCGAGGGTGCTAATGCTAATAGAATATCAGCTGTTTCCTTATCAGAAAACATTCAGCATTCATTGACTGAACAGCCAATTCTGTTGAAATTTATAAAATCTTTCTATTAAATATATTTTTTTAGGAAAATAGGTTTCTCAAGTGCAGTAGCTATTATCTCTCTTTTCATTATTGATGGAAGTTGCCTTCCTTGCTTTTTGTTTGAGGTAGTGTGCAAGTGTGCAGTGTGTAACGTCAGCGTCTTTATTATGCCATTATTATCTTTTCGAGTTACATATGCTATCCATTTTAGTTATTTCCGTTTTTGAACGTCCTTAACTAATGTGGTTTCTGTTATCTAGTACAGTTCTTTGTTCGTGATCGTGTAGCGCCAGTCCACAAGGTTTGAAGAAGAATTGCCCTCGCTGAGACCTACACGTTTTCACTTAGCTCGAAAACATATTTAACCATCGATTTGAGTAAGCAGTTCTATACAACTGACAGTTTAGATATTTCTGAACTAGGCTGACACCAAGCATGGCATCCATATGCTCCATCTTCTTGATCTGAAGAAACTATTTAAGAACAGACTCTAGTTTTTAGGTTAATGTTTTGGTTTTGTAGCAAGTTGCGGTGTTGTGTGAAACTACTTCTAGCATAGCCTATTTCATGTTGAATTTCCTATATGAAAATTTGTTATAACATCCATCTACCGAGTTATTTCAAGTGTTTAGTATTAAGGGTTTAGTATTAAGTGTTTAGTATTTTCTAATTCCACAAGCTGAGTTTTTCTATAATGCAATCAGGCTATGTTTCATCATTGTTTTCATTACAATTCCAGATCATAGTTTCTGTTTTGGAATATTTATTTTCCATCCTATTTCTTGAAACAATTCACAGAGGATGTTGATTTTTTGGTCAAGATTATTCTTATTGGGTCTACAGATTAGCAGATTCAAACAGATGGAATATTGATCTTTCTCTATAAACCACAATTCTACACTTCATCTTTTGAGGATGTACCAGCAGCCTGGCTATTAATACGTGGCCTTGCACAAGTGAAGCATTGCCATTATCCTGTTGTGCCGTTATCATTAAAAGACGTAAGCGACAGGCAAACATTGAGAACAAGTGACACCGAAAATATGCTAGAAAAAATCATGTTACGATTCATCTGCTGGTAAAAACAAAAATAAAAATAATACATTTGGAATGAAGAAGAGGAAATATCTATGTGAAATAAACATTAAAATAAGTTATTTAAATCGATATAAGTTATGATTCTGCGATTGCCTAGTGCGTGTGTGTGTGTGCGCGCGTATTTACGTGAGTATCTCTTTTTGTGTATTTAACTGTGCAAGTGTGTTACTGCTGCACGTGATCAGAATTACGTAGTAATGTGTATCACTGCCTCATTGGGTGGAACCGGGATGCTGAGAGATATTATCAGTCAGTTTGTTATAGTAGTATTGCTTACAAACTTATCATTTTGAAACATTCGTTTTCGTACGACCACAGAAGTTAAGCAACGTTGATCCTGGTCAGTACCTAGATAGGTGACCGCTTGGGAATACAGGTTGTAAGCTTGAATGTGTGGATGGATAACGGCTCGGAATTGGAAATCGGAGAGCCGAGTTCTAATTACAATTCGGTTGGTTTCGGGCAAATATCCATAGGAAAGGTATGGATCCAACTATTCTTCCCCTAGCTATAGGTTAATCAGTAGGGCATACAAATCAATAAATAATTATTACCGTCATAAAATTCTTACAGTCTAAAAATATTTTATAGATTTAAATAACCTGCAAAATGCTGATAAGCCTTAAAAAATAATCAATTAATCAATCATATGATATTATTAATTGAAGAGATATATTTTCTTGTATTGTATGCGAGACAAGATTTACTGGGGATTAAGAAGAGGAAACGAAATATGTCTTGTCTGTATGACATACTATGAGCAAGGAATGAAGAGAGAGAGAGAGAGAGAGAGAGAGAGAGAGAGAGAGAGAGATTGTACCTTCTCCTTTGATACTGTTTTTGAGCAACGTCATTTAACAGGCGTAGGAAGTTACCTGCCAGATAAGTGGGGTAATCAATTCCACAATTCCGACAATATTGAAAGGTGTGGAATAGCATAATGAAATATAGTGATATAGAGTGCATTGATAAAAAATGTTGAAAGCCACTGTTTTAATGAATATGAAAATAATAACATTGTATGATGTGTTTTTACGGAACACTTAAGAACCGTTTTTTTCTCTTCGCAGGCCGTGGAACTGCATGATCTTTTAAAAATATTGATTTAGATTTATTTTCAGTTAAGATGATAGAATACAAATAGTCACTTTGAACAACGTAAAATGAAGTTCCATTCTGTGAATTTAAGCCTTTTCTTCTCTTATATGCGTAGTTCTACTAAACACGGAAACAACATAAAAGACGTCATTTACCGCCGTTTATTGTTGTTTTTTCTTTGTTAAGAATTTCTCGTTAGGATTTACAGATTGGTTTGTTTTTCTTCACTCTTCTTCCTTTTTAAATTCTTTGAAATTTTCTGTTCGTTTTATAATTTCTTTTTTCTTTTCTTTTCTGACCTTCAATTCCGTATTTCTTTCATCTTTTACCCGCTGTTCATCCTTTCTTTGTCAGACATATCATTGATCGTTTCTTACCTTTTTATCGATAAACAACATTCTCCCGGAAAAGACCTTTCAACAATTACACTCATATCGATGTTTAAACATCGTATTTCTTGGGTTTTATAAGCCAACTTATATTTTCTTTTTTGTAGCTTCCACCATATTGACATTTATACGCATACATACAGAAATAAATAAAAATATTATTTTCTCTTTTCTATATTTATATAAATATTTAATACAAATATATACATAGGTATATCAATAATTCCGTATTCTAATTAAGAAAAAATATTTTACACAACAAACATACTCTCCTTCCTTGTCAGAATATCTAACTCAATCCTTCTTGAGGAGAATCATTGAGTTATATATATTGACAATCACGGAGATCGAACATTATACAATGAACATTTCCGATCAAAAATCAGCTAGTAACTATATTATGTTACAGACTTATTGATCCACCCTAGGTATATATATGAAAATATTTATAACATACACGTATCACAGTTTAATTCAGTGGTTGAAAATAGACGGGAAATGAACATCTTGTTTGAAATTACTTTTTCATTTCCAAATTTCCATTTTTTTGCTGCAGTTTCATGAGTTTGCAGTGAAAATAGTTTAAAACAAACCCCCAAACCTCATATTTATTAGTTCTTTGATCTAATACGCATCTGTATTTGTAAATAATTTAACTAAAATGTTGTGTCTTTTTTTACGCACCCAAAATGATTGACGTGTTTTTTTAAGAAAATCTTGCCTCAAACTGAAGTTCTATTTTTTATTGTTCTACTCCAAAGACTTGTCGTGGTTGCTAATACAAATGAAGAAGAATTGCTATGGGTCGTTGCTTCTTGCAATTCCTTGGTACAAGTAGACTGTAAGAAATTAGTTAAGTCTCAGTATTCCCGTTTCTTCTCAGATTGGATACATCTTGAAATGGTGAGAATATAAAAATATACCACTAACTGCCTACTACGCAATCATCAGTTATTTAGATGCGCATGCGTAGATTTATGTCGAAATAAACTGTTTACGCATCTAGTAAAAGGTCGGGCAGTATACAAATAAAGGGCAGCACTTTATATCAAAAGATATCCAAGACATTTCGAAAAGGTGGATCACTAAGTTCGTAGCTGAAAAGTTGCTATTTAATGAATTTTGATCTGAAATATTCCCTACGTAATGTTTTATTTATGTCATTAACATTCATCAAAGAATAAGTGCATTGACAAAGAAGATTTTTTTAAACATTTCACCACAAGCAAGGCAACAATGCCACTAGGTGGCAGGGAGTTACAGGGAGTGAAAGAGAATGAGAAGATTTTAGTGAGGAGCGAGTGATGAAAAGGACAGTAAAAGAACGGAATCCAAGAAGACAAAATATGGCGATTGATGTTCGATTAAAATTTTGTATATTGTAGATGACAGTGAAGCAAGAAATCGGAAGAGAGTTCCACAAGCAAGAAGTGCGAGAAAAGAAACTATGAGAACAGACGGTTGCAGTTCACTAGTTCAACAGATAATTGGTGAGACATAATTGACAATCTAGTAGAAAGCTTAAATCCATGCAGTCGAGGCACTAAGGAGTAAAACTTATCAGTACAATTGCCATGAAAATATTTGTAGAAAAGACAAAGAGAAGTGACGTCACGTCGGTGAAAAAGTGATTAAAGTTGAGATGCCAGGTCATGATTTATTATATTACAGACCCTTTTTTGGATTTTGTCAAGAAAGTACAGCAGAAGCACCAGAACATATATGATAGCGGTATTCAATGCACGAACGAATAGTAGACTTATAAATATGCAATATAGATTCTGACGAGAGGAATTGTCATTAAAAACATATATTTGTGTAAAATAAAAATATTTTAAATTATTACGGACTTATTGGTGTACCTATGTATATACCGTTTACTGCGATGTAGTTGATTCCCTTTGTATTATACTAGTGAGTTTGATCCCTTAGCTGTGTGAAGTCATAAACCATAAAGTGTTCTTTAAAAGTTTAGACTTTCAACCGACATCTGATTTATTTGATTTCACTTCTAACGATCTTGTCTCCACTTTCCATTTTTGAATAAACACATCCACATGCATAAGCTACACACATATAAAGACATATATACACATACAAACGCATACGATTTATTATTTTATTATCTGGAAACAGAGATGTCTTTTTAGATATGAAAACCTATAATTATTACAGAAATAATAGTTGAAACATTTATTATAAAATAATTCAGTTTCAATGATTTATTATAGTATGGCAGTTGATTCACGTCGGCTGAGGTCGGTTTTATTAGGTGGATTAACTAATCTTTTTTCTTCTAATTTCTTCTTTTCTCTTTCTACATAAAAAGAATTGATTGTTCTGATATTTATTATCTTGAATATCTTTTATTTGATTATTACATTTTTTATCCCGCCATTCTTGTCTGCTTGCTATTTCGTTTTCTTTTTAACAATAAGTATCCACAGCATTTGATCTCGCCAAAAGAATCAGAGTTCATATGCTTTATAAATGTACACGGTTATAGTTTCTGTTCATACAAATTGAGCGTTCTTCTTCTTCTTCTTCTTCTTCTTCTTCTTCTTCTTCTTCTTCTTCTTCTTCTTCTCGTTAATTCAGGCGATCATGGCTCTCTACAACTTTCTGTGCTTATTTAACCATCCATTCGCATAAGCTTGTCAGCCAAGTGGCACGCTGTCTTCCTTTATTTCTCTTACCCTCAATATGCCTCGTGAATTTTCCAAGCCCTCCTTCCTCCTTATATGTCCAAGGAATTTCATCTCCCTTTTCCTGATTTTGAGTATAAGTATGTCCTTTTTGTTACAATTTTCTTTAAGGCTACCTTGTCATTTACTCCTTCCATTCATGGAATTTTCAGTATTCTTCTGCAGAACAACATTTCTCTTGCCTCTAATTTATTCATCATCCTTAGGGAAATTGTTCAATATTCACTGTCATATAAGAGGATGGATAACACATAGACATCCAGCACTCTTTTCTTTGTTTCTAACGAAAATTTTCCGTTTCTCAGCACTATGTTTAGCTTTTGGAATGCCTCTTTTGCTAGTCCCAGGAGTACTTCGGATCTCGGTGTCACATTTTACATCCGCTGTTAAAACGTTTCCCAGATATTTGAACTTCTGCATCCGCTTGTTTTATAAATTCCAATTCGTAAATCGCATTTTTGTCTTTTTCTCTTCCTGATGACCATACAGTTTCTGTCCTCTTACAGTTAACGTTTCGTCATTTTTTTCGCTTTTTTTTCTACCACCATGTCTAGGAGGTGCTGTAGTTTCGTTTCTGAATCGGCCATCATTACAGTGTCATCTGTGTATACCATATTATTAAGAATACGCCCACTGATAATAAATTCTGGTAGGATCTCCAGTTCCCTTAGTTTGGCGTCATTGTAAAGGTTGAATAAATCTGGCGAGAAGACATATTCTTGTCTCATTCTCCTTTTTATTTTTGTACATCTACTCAATTTATTTTCCATCCGCATACAGACGGTTTGCTCTCAGTGTAAGTTCGGGATTATTATGACATATTTTCCAAATAGATCGAGTTTCCCAGAAGGCTACATTTTAGAAAATATTTTTACAGGTCGGTTAAATTACCGGCTACCATTTTCATGAGCGAGAAAGATGTATCCAAGGCTTTGATGTCCGTAGTATTCGTGTAATTCAATAGTTATAAATTATGTTATACAGTGGTTCTCAATCTCTTTTCTCAATGCACTCTTTTTCAAGTTTGTCAGATTCCAAAGGTAAAAATCGTTAAAAGATCGGTATTCCAATATTCAGACCATAACATTCACATCCTCAACGGCAAAACTGATCTTCCAACTGCTATGACCCTTATTTATAATGATACTCATACTGATAATCATAATGAAGTGATCATTAAATCTTGCA